GTTAATGGACTGACACCTATGAGAAAACAACTACACTCCTAGATAATACCACGAAGGGCGTTGGATTATATCCGACAGGGGTCAGTGCAGGATTCTTCAGGAAAGTTATTCCTGCATATGCTGCTGGCGATACAACTGCTGCAGAAGATTTTCAATTATTGGAAAACACTTGTAAACAGTAACTCTTCATTTTGAATTTTAATTCTCATAATGATTTCAATGTGATGTTTTCTTTCCAAATACCATTACTTCAGACTTGAGTGCGTTGATTTTCAACTTATGTGCATGTGATACCTCTACTAATCGGTTTATATCTCCAGATATAACTTTTTGAGACTCAAACCAATATTCTGAAGCAAATAAGTGATACAGTTGTGTATCATCAGCATAAAAGTGGACTTCACAAGTTGTAATGCTCGAAATGAAATTACTTGTGTATATACTAAATAGTACGGGGCCAAGTATAGATTCTTATGGAACTCCACAAGTAACGTTTTCTCTTGCTGACTGACCCACAGCTGTCTCCACGTATTGATTCCTGTCCTGTAGATAATTGCACATAAGACTGATAGCACTCTCCGAAAAAACTATAAAGTGTAAAACAGAGAGTAAAATTAAGTGGTTTATCGTATCAAATAATCTAAGAAAATAAGAACAGTTGTTTTTCCTCCATCTGTCTCTAAACAATATCGTCAACAATGTTAAGTAAGGCTGTAGCACAACTATGTCCCGGTCTGAACCCTGATTGTTCAGAAGGCAATAAAGTATATTTTTCAAGACGCCTAATTCAAAACTTCATTAATGCAGAAGAAAATGGGGTTGTATAGATGGATAATGTGGACTGACACCTATGAGAAAACAACTACTTCCCTAGATAATACCACGAAGGGCTTTGGATTATATCCGACAGGTGTCAGTGCAGGATTCTTCAGGGAAGTTATTCCTGCATATGCTGCTGGCGATACAACTGCTGCAAAAGATTTTCAATTATTGGAACACACTTGTAGACTGGTTTCGGACTATTTGGCTACTCTTCAGTGCAAGGTAGTGTCTATCATCAAAATAAAGTCGATGATTTCCGATAATTGACAAACAAAATGTTTGTCATCGCCCCATTTGTCTGTGACTGAGACTGGCGTGAACAAATTGTTCTTTTAGATGATTTGATTTTTAGGCAGTCTTCAAGTATGCCCACTGACTATATGTGGAAAAAAAATAAAACAAGATTTGGCGTTTCAATGAACTGTTGGTAATTAATTACTGAATACATTGTCGGAGATCATGTCGATGAAATAAGTTGAAAATTCTTCTTCATGAGTACATTCATTGTGCCAAATTCTGGAAAAATACTAAAGAATCAACAATCAACGAGAGACTGTACCATGACGCTTAAAGTAATTTCTCTCACGATATTGCGATTTGCCGACTTTACCAATGCATAAGCTGCATATCCATTTTTATTACACGCTTTATATTAGCTTCACCTATATGTGTGTATGTATGTATGTATGATTGTATGCATGTTTGTGTGTAATTCTCAAGATCGGGATCTGTATTGACAGAATTATTGGCATTATTGCTTGATCTATTCGCGGGCAGATGGCGCTGTTCGTAACCTTATGATTCTATAGACAATGCTTATTGATATTTCTTGATCTATTCGCGGGCAGATGGCGGTGTAGCTAACTATCAAATATTGCTTAATATATTTGCGAACAGATGGCGCTGTACGTAACTATCAATTATTGCAATCAAATCAAATCAAAATGTACTTCATTATTGAAGATGAAATCTCATTGACAAAGTGTTACTATTCTAAGAAATATAAGAAGAAACGGAAGATAAATTTCAAAATCTAATTCGAATATTTGATAGCAAACTAGAATATGGATTTCAACAATGAAAACTTTATCGTGAATTGTACACCTGAAAAATTCAGTTACTTGAATATTTCAAAAAATCAAATTAGAATCAAGGTGCTTGACATATATATCAAATCAAAAGATTGATTTGAAAAATAAAATTATTCACTGAAAAAGCGGAAGCGAGATATGACCCCTATGTCGTAAATGAAGGTTATGAATATCTGTCCTATATTTTATTTTATTGTAAAGATATAGGGGACACTGTTTATTGATTACTGCATGGGTTAAAATGAGAAAATGAAGTTTTCGACGATCATTTTTAACCACTTTGCGGATCTTAGCTTGTTAGATATTGGATCATATTTACGAATACCGTAGATCAATCTGAAACATGATTCCTGTATTTTTTCTATAAGATTGATATCGTTATGATCTAATCATGGTCCATACAGAATGTCACAAAAGTTACAGTGACTTAGGACAAGTGTATCACTTAACGTTTTTTTAAATGATTGTCAAAGAACATGTTTATGAGGATAAAGCATTTTCAATGAACAATAAGCCTTTTGAAGACAAGACTTAATAAGTTTTCTGAATCAAAGTTCTGTATCTAAGTGTAAACCTAAATTCCTTGCATCACTTGTAAACAGTAACTCTTCATTTTGAATTTTAATTCTCATAATAATTTCAATGTGATGTTTTTTTTCCAAATACCATTACTTCAGACTTGAGTGCATTGATTTTCAACTTATGCGCATGTGATACCTCTACTAATCGGTTTATATCTCCAGATATTACTTTTTGAGTCTCAAACCAATTTTCTGGAGCGAATAAGTGATACAGTTGTTTATCATCAGCATGAAAGTAGACTTCACAAGTTGTAATGCTCGAAATGAAATTACTTGCGTATATACTAAATAGTATGGGGCCAAGTATAGACTCTCGTGGAACTCCACAAGTAACGTTTTCTCTTGCTGACTGACCCACAGCTGTGTCCACGTATTGACTCCTGTCCTGTAGATAATTGCACATAAGACTAATAGCACTGTCCGAAAAAACTTTAAAGTGTAAAATAGAGAGTAAAATTTCGTGGTTTATCGTATCAAATAATCTAAGAGAATAAGAACAGTTGTTTTTTCTCCATCTGTCTCTAAATAATATCGTCAACAATGTTAAGTAAGGCTGTAGCACAACTATGTCCCAGTCTGAACCCTGATTGTTCAGAAGGCAATAAAGTATATTTTTCAAAACGCCTAATTCAAAACTTCATAAATGAAGAAGAAAATGGGGTTGTATAGATGGATAATGAAAAATGGATAATGAAAATAGCAAATGATTTCCACAAGGAAATGTATGAAATATTGAAAAAATTGATAATAATATAATGATTCATAACAGAAAATATCATTTTAGATTTTTTGTCATCTGGATTTTGCTGAAATTTTTCATATTTGGCAAATTATTGTTTTGTTATTTGATTGTTCATCAATATTTGATCAGATATTTGGAATCTTCAGATTTTCTGGAAGCTTCATTGGAAAGTTATATTTGTCACAATAATTTTAGAAAATCAAATTCGAGTATTCCAATTAGTTATTTGACACATGAATAACGATGAACAATTGGAGTTTGTACATCATTGATATGTCTAATATGTTTTTCGATTCGTATAAATCATTAGCTAATCCTTTATAATCAGATATGAAAAAACATTTCGAAACTTTATTCTGACATATTTGCTGCTGCTTCTCAAACTGAAACCAAATACTGTAGTTTGAAATGAACTAAAAATAATAATTACATTTTGAATATTTTTGTAGTTCTGAAAACACAAGACATATCATAAGCTTCATGACTATATAGTGGTGCATACCTGTATCCTTCTTGGGTAAAATATTCGAACAGCAAAAACGTTCGCATTACGATACATTTCTTGTGAAATCAATGAGTCTCAGATCTGTAGGTGTATAAATAATTTCTAAATTGAAAGGGAAATATTCTCAGGAGAGAATAATTATTGAGAAAGAGAGTTTCTGGCTTTCTACCCCTGGGAATGTTCCCGACAAAGTAAGAGAGTAATTGTTATGACTTCAAAATGAACTATATACAAAGATGAGTAGTTCAAGCAAAGAAGTAACTTTCAGACCCGAAGGAAAAAACACTCTCGAAACAACTACTTCCGTATAAACATCAACGCTGGTGTTACTTCGAGATTCATACTGTCTCCAACGACTTATTGGAAAAAAACAATAATCCAATATATTGCTTTGCTGACGACACATCTTCACTGCACATCCTCCTGCTCCATATCTTCACTGGCAGCAGGAGGTTGCATATCTCAATGAGAATCTAGAGGTGATTTCGGATTGGGGTTAAAGTAACCAGGTTCCTTTCAATGCCATGGAAACCCAGGCATCGGTTTTCTCCGAAAAGATAAAAGTCTCTTAACTGGATGTGATTATGTCAGAACAGACAATTCCGCTTTCTGCTCAAATGGTTGGATGGAAGAGCAATATCTGCCTCAATTCATGATGTGCAAAAAAAGTTGGAGCTATTCATTGATAGGTAATACGGGTGAAAGCTAGTGCAAGATTTGACGAAATAATGAATGTGCTGGGTTATATTTGAAAAGTACCGTTTCAAAAGACTTCGTTTCGATGGGGTGAATAGTGTCGATTTGCGCGTGTGTTAATAGTAACATGGCGAGGGCATCTTTCCGTCTGAAATCAAAATCAACACATGAGAATACTACAATAAAAATACTACAAACAAAAATAATATGTCTCAATGGTGGTGACGTCACAGTCATTCATGAAACTTCGATTTTTCCCTCAAAATAGAAAAATTTCGGTGTTATTCACTGATCAGTAAAGCATTTTTCAATAGAACTAACGAAAGATATTGTTTTTTCTGGAAGTGTCAAGGTTTTTATCTCATTTTCATACATAGTTAATTTTTTCGCGAGAAATATTTGATAATAGGCAGTTGTAATAACGAAGTCATGATCAAAAATTAAGAATATTTGCCACATTATGATAACAGATCAACGAATTCAGTAAATCCCAACAAATCACGAAAAGAGCCTCTTTGAGTCAAAATTAGTCATTTATAATTTCTATAAAAATTGTAACTCACCCTTCCATTGTCGAAGTCTCTTCCTACGCCTATGGTCAGTCTTGCTTTCGCCTTCATAGCGTCACTGAGTGGTATTTTAGCTCGCTTGGCCTCGGAATGTGATTTGTAACAAAATTCCAGCATCGCTACGGCCATGGCGATAAAAAGCCCAGCAATGAGTATGTAGAATATACCAGCAACGTTGCTCAAGGACAACTCATTTCTGGACGTATCCTGGAAAAGAAAGAAGCCATGATTGCAGGATAGACTGAATGATCAAACGTGGTCAAAATTATTATGTGAAATATATCGAAGAATTCTTTGACTATGAAGGAGTGAACATTATATTTTTGTAATCGGAAAACAACAACTGCGTCAACGTCACAAACAAATAATAGATTCAATGTGATTCGATAAAAAATTCGAGAAAACTGACAAAAATATAGAAATATTCAAAGAACTATTTTGTTATCAACCAATAACAAAAATTGTTCAGAATTGAGGAGGAGGAATTGGAAAAGTAGATGAACAAAACAGTAGGTCTTGATACCATGACTCAGTCAGAACTCTGAACAGAAATCCTTGCAAATGATATCATTCCATTTTTCATTGTTGGTGTATTGAGAAGTATGATCATCTTGAACTTCTTTATATTAATAGAGATTCAGCTGAAACAGACAGCATGGAAATCGATGATTATATTCATTTTGTAGTATAAACAAGATGGGGTATTTTGCAGCCGCAGTTAAAGATTTTTTTCAGTTATCTATCTAGGTATGTGTATAGGTAGGCACTGTTGAAGGTAATCTGATCTACAGACCTATTTCCTTTCGGCTTTCTTCATGAGCCCACTCATAGAAATGTTTACCTGATTCTTTTGATATGCATTCTCCAGAATTCAAAGTATACACTTGTATATGAATAGTCCCCCATTCCTCTCAACCTTTGAAAGAAACAAGACATCAAGGTCGGACAAAATTTACGATATTTCAATCCGTTTTGAAAATATTTAGGTTCTGAAGTTTCTGTTCCTACTAATTTTTGCAATTACCACTTACATTTTATTATCTTGAATAGATTCAATTTTTAATTATTATTTTATTTATTAACAAATATAAATTAAAACACAATACGGTTTTAGAGAGAGAAAATCTACCCGGGACGCAGTTCATTCCATTCCATTCTTCTATGAAAACTTATAGGACATAGGTATAATAGGTACATCACATACATTTTTGAAGAATCAATAGACCGTGGCAAATATCGAAATTAAAAAAAAACAAGTCGAAAAAAAATAACATGTGAAGTACCCCAAAGAACGGTACCGGGACCAGTATTATCCACAATACACTTCAACGACCAACGGTGTGTAAAAAAAATGCTAAAATCACAAGTTCTGCTCATGATACTGTACTTTTTTATACAGATGACAAGTGGTATTACCTGAAAAATAAAATTTAAACATACCTGAATAAATTTCATTCGTCACAAAATAGTCCCAATGGAAGAGCCCAGATGAGCTAATACCAAAAAAAAAGAACGCCAAGTTCGATCAAATGCCAAGGTTTCACTAACTGTTTTCATTCAATACCGTGGCATAGTGCATCAGTAGTTCTTGCCACATGGTCATACGGTCAATAAGGAGTTCATGTGCCGCTTGCGAAAAGCAATACGAAGAAAACATCCGGATTGTGGAAAACAATTCATGTCTTTTGTATCACGATAATGCACCTGCTCACTCGACATTCGAAACATCATATCGACATCAAAAACAACACTGTAATCATGCCTCAGCCACCGTTTTCACCAGAATTGGCATCTACGACTTTTTTCGATCCCAAAATTGAAAACACCTAAAGGACGGCGACGCTTGACGATTGAGGAGATGAAAACCGAATCGCTGAGGGAGCTAGCTCAAAGATATATCAAAAAGTGCATATCAGAACTGCTTTGAGTATTTGAGAAAATGCTGACACAAGTGATGGACAAAATAGAAATCGGTGAATAAAAGAATATTCTTCGAGAAAAATGAAAATTCACTTTATTTTACACGCTGTATGTATGTATGTTTGTTTGTAACTTTCAAGTTCGGGATCTGTATTGATAGAATTATCGGCATTATTGCTTGATCTATTCGCGGGCAGATGGCGTTGTACGTGAACTCCTTGATATTTTTTGATCTATTCGTGGGTAGATGGCTCTGTACGTAACTCTCGGCATTATTGCTTGATCTATTCGCGGGCAGATATCGCTGTATGTACCTCCTTGATAGATTGTTCAAAAGAAAATCAAAATAAATAAATATAGTTTAAAAAACTAAAACACGCTTCAAAGAACATTGAACTGAAAAGTTGAAAATATTTTTTTAACAAGCTTAAAAACAATAACGATCGAAAAATACTAGTATTATTGTAAAAAAAGCATGGGCGCTTTGTGCTATATTGTTTGTATTAAGGTTATTAAAAAAAATCATTTTTACCTTTTCAGTTCGATGTTCTTTAAAGCGTGCTTTTTAGCTTTTCTGAACTATATTTATTTTCAACAGAGTAGTATTCAGATATTTCATTTTGAAAACTTCTCAGTCTGGAAGTTACCTATTTCCGACGGATTTTCCGAGTTCCTTCCATATGAGTTCACCTCGATGAGTATGATTTGGAACCTGTGGCATAAACTGAATCTATTGAAAACACTTTTCCCGCACCAGAACGAAAATTCTGCCTCTCAATGGGTGTTTCGAACTAATTTGAGCAACTTCATTAACATATATCGAGTTCATCATTATCGTGAAAATTCCAGCAGAAATTGAGTAACTACATAATCTCGCAAATTTCAACATTCCAAACAAACTCATCAGTGTTCAGGATATAACAATGAATTCCTCTTCTCCGAACAGTCTCTGAACAGAAATTTTGTCATTTCAAAACAGGTAAATGCAACGCTGTGCTGTGTTCATCGTCTGCTAATTTTCACGCATGAATTGGATAATTCGCTATTTGACGCCAATATTCCCAATTCAATTTCGCTTTCCATAATTCCATTAGGGATGAGTGTCACGAGTAGTATATAATCATTATAAATTATATCTGGCACATTACCACTCATGCACAACTTGTTCGATTCAAACGAATGTATAAATTCCAGAGCTTTTTTTCAGCAGATTTTATTGAAACAACGATAAGAATAAAAACAACAATAAAAATTAATTGGCGCCCCGGGCGACTTCATTGATTCCAGTGGGGCATTTGCTTTTCCAGCTGCAGGAAAACCCGGAAAAACCTGCAGCACCACATCATCTGAAGATCTTGATCTACCAATGTCCTCTCTCTCATAAAACAAAATGTAGGGTGTCTCCAGAGGCTCCAATAAATTCAATGCATCGCCAGAACACTTCGTGACACGACTAT